ATCTACATAGTAATGTAATAGGATGGTTCATCTCTGGGATTTAGCTCCAGGAATTGAAATTTTGGAGTACTCTGCCTCAATCGTAGGCTCATAGAATTGTGGGAGGGTCTTAGCTGTCATCTACTTCAACCTCTCATATGAAGAACACTGTATTCTGGGGCAGGGGGATTCTGGAAGTTGAAGTCCACACATCTTCAAGTTGCCAAGGTTGAGAAACTCTACACTAGAGCATCCCTAACAGATCACCGTCCAGCCTCTGTTTGAGGACCTCCCATGAAGGAAAACTCCCCATGTGATGTGGCAGCCTGTTCCATTGGTGACCACTCATATAGTCAGGAGGTTCCTTCTAATATCCAGCCTGAACTTACTTCCTTGTAATGTTAACACATTGGTTCTGGTCCTGCCCTCATGTTGAGGTTCTGCCTCCAACATGGCTACCTAAGAGTCTCTAATCTCTAACGAGTAACATTGGCAGAACGTCTGTAGGGCAACATTAGTATGGGCTCCTTACTCCTGTTTGAGGTAGATTTTTCCTCATTTCAGTTCCAATATGAGTAATACGTTGTTTTTCATGCTGAAAGAGCAAAACCCTCAAACAAAAGCAGGCTTGTATATTTCTAGAGCTAATGGAAGCAGTTGTCTCTCGTAATGCAATTTGCAAAGCCTTTTTGGGCAAAATGTTAAAAGGCAAAACAATAACAAAGACTTGATCTTTTTTGTCTCGCAGAGTGAAGCAGCGTACATGCCAAGACTTTGCAGTGAGGACATCACTGATTAGTTTTCCTGGACTTGTAGAAAAGGAGGGTGAGGGGTAATGAGTTCCAACTCCTGTTTGTTTTTTGCAGGGAAAAAAATATATTATGAGTTCAGCCTCTTACTCCGTGATTCCCAAATTCTGTCCTGGAGAAGTTCAGTGAAAGTGCATCGTTCCTAATAGATGAATTTCCATGGTAATTCCCTGAAGGCTTCTCATGGAGTGCTGCTGTGGGGCATTGTGGGAAAGTAAAAGGGTGAATCTTATTTCAATGTCCAGAATGCCCCAGAGATGTAGTATGGTAAAACAATTCTAAAAATTAAATGGTAACTCTTCCAGGCTCAGCTGAGCACTCATTGCATGAATGTGATAGATGCCTCCCAGGAGAGCCCCACCAAATTAGGAGGGCCCAACAAGAAGGCATTTGCTTAAGATTCTGTCTCACTTATTCTTCTGCAACCTTATGACCCTTCAGACCAAGAACAGCCTGCATGTCTGTTGCTATGAATTCTGGGAGTGAAACCTCTGAATCTGGAGGGTGCTTGGCTTGGAATTCTGGGACACCCATTCTTGAGCAGGGTTCCTCAACCTTGGTGACTTGAAGATGTCTGGCTGGGGAATTCTGGGAGTTGAAGTCCACACCTCTTCAAGTCGCCAAGGTTGAGGAACCCTGTTCTTGAGGAATGCCAAGAGGAGGAAGACTGCAATACATATCTTTATGATTGCAAGGTCAATCCTTAAAAATGGAATACAATATTGTAGGCTGAAGAAGACTGATCACTTAAAGGGTATGGGGTCATGCCTGCTTTACTTCATGTAGGATCAGTCTCCTCTGTGGAGGATAAAACTCTCATTGGCTACAGATTATGATCGGTGTGTGTCAGCTTCACTATCAGAAATAATCTGCTATGAATACCAGTTCCTAGGAAATGTGAGTGGGGAGAAACCCAAGAGTTTATAGATTTGCCAGAATCATCTGGTTGGCCATTGTAGGAGTAGTAGGCTGGCCTAGATAAGTCTTTCATCTTATGAAAGAGTCTTAGGTTCTTAGAAGCAAGAGTCTTAGATTCTTTCCAAAGACTATTTGATTTATCTGGACCGTATAGCATTTTCCTGCTGCTGTGGCAGATTTGAGAAAAAAAGGAACTTCCCATACTCTAGTGATTAACTTGGATACAACAGATTTTGGCTTGCACTGATGTATATCTGTTTCGCGACATGATCTCATAATGTACAATTGTACTGTTTCAGTTCGTCGGGATGCAGGCTTTTCAACTTCAAACGCTGCAAAAAAATCTTCAGTTTGTGATGAAAAGCCAGTTGTTAATCTGATGTAGATTAAAGCTGAGGAATAAAAGGCAGAGACTTTGCATTTAGAATAACTGAATAATTATAACTGAGTTTCTTTGGCTAGCACTGAAGGGATCTAAGTATATCTTAATATTTTAGAAAGCCTTTTGGAAAACTGTGGGAGTACTGTAGGTTTCCAAACAATCCAGATTTTAACCTATAGAAGGTTGGTACACATTTCCTAATTACATCTGCCCCTGATTAAATGGCAGGCTTCTCCATTCTGGTGTTCCCAGATGTGTAGAGGCTACAGCTCCCAGAATTCCTTTAGGCATGTGACTTTTGGGCTTACAGTCCTAATGCGTTAAGAGGGCATGAAATTGGGAAAGATTGTAATATGATACACAGTAAGTAAATAAGTTCTGTTTTCTGCTTGTTAATGAAGTTCTCTGGAGCTCTTTGACGCTCTTACTTGAGGATGTTAGAAAAAAGAGATACAATGGAGTGAAGTCATTCCAAATGATTCAAGCCCTGATGTTAATTGGAACTTGGTTATTTGAAACATATAGAGGACTCTGAAACCAATAGAATAAGGACGTTATCTAGTATGTTTGAGATGGATGTCTTGTGTTGAGCTCTGATGATGATCTGAAAACCTCTGGACAAAAATGTGGGTTGAAAGGATTGGCAAAAATACCTCTGCTCTTCCTGCAGAAGTGATTTAGTCAACTAAAAGCCCTTTGCAAAAAATGAAGCGTCTTTTCAGCAATTGGATGGAGTGAACAGGTCCCTTTCTCTCCTATCTTCAGTGCTAATGCTCCTTTTCTACCAGCTTTGTGACTCCTGAGAAATTTCAGCTATTCACACATTTGTCTCAACACTTCCTTCTGTTGGGCTGGATCCAGAATGATGTGTTGTTTTCTTTTCTTCTTCTGCCACAAGGAGAAACGATGCAGGTATAGGGCGTTTGCCTAGATCAGTGTTTTTCGAACTTGGCCACTTTAAGATGTGTGTGACTTCAACTCCCAGAATTCTCCAGCCAGCATGCTGGCTGGGGAATTCTGGGAGTTGAAGTCACACACATCTTAAAGTGGCCAAGTTCGGAAATCTCAGCTTCTGGAGAGAAGGAATCATCTAGGCTAGTGTTTTGAAGATGGGTAGACTTTAAGATGTGTGGGAAATCTCAGCTTCTGGAGAGAAGGAATCATCTAGGCTAGTGTTTTGAAGATGGGTAGACTTTAAGATGTGTGGACTTCAACTCCCAGAATTCTCCAGCCAGCATGCTGGCTGGGGAATTCTGGGAGTTGAAGTCCACACATCTTAAAGTCTACCCATCTTCAAAACACTAGCCTAGATGATTCCTTCTCTCCAGAAGCTGAGATTTCTAAGCTTGTATTAAATGGAGAGTTTTTTCTAATACTTTTGACTTGTCCTGGAGTTGAGTTAAATTAAACTCTGGCAACAGAAGCAGTTCCAGGGTTGAATCCTGTCTTCAATTAATCCCCCTTGCTGATCGTGTCCCATGATTGCATTTGAAAGGACATTTTATATTACTATGACTAAACTCTGATACTGAAGAAATTACTCATTTTTATCTGTTTATAGGCTCGATTGCATACTAAATCTCCTGACCTTTTCTCTGTGACAGTTTTTCAGCCATAAAAGGATATCTTTTTATGCTTATTTACTGAATCACTTGAGTAGATTTGAAGTGTACGGTCTTCCAGCTGATGCTCAGGTCTTAGAACAAAATCCTTCTGATTTTTTACCATATGCTGAGGCACCCATATGTGGGAGTGAGAATACCTGTGTCTTGATTGTATCCATACAACGTTATTGATAGTTCTGTGTATTTAACCCACCCTCATGCCTGACAATATAGCTTTGGGGGAAGAAAAGAAAATCCCACAATGAACTATGCAGTTTTGTCCAAAAAAAAAAAAAATCCCTCATTAATTCAATCTAGACATAAAAATATAGCAGCAGTCATGTTGATCTATGACAGGGCAATTTTTTTTTATGACCAAAGGCAGCATTTAACATTTTTGGAGGTTGGAGGGCCATGACCTGGGTGAAGTTGCTTCACACATGGCATGGGTCTGGGGGAGAGGGGATTGTAGTAGTGTGCCTCCCATCTCAGAATGGAAAGAAATTATGCTGTCAGATTTTAGCCATCCAGCCAGAGGGAAGCTCTGAGGGTTGTAGAAAGGAGTTTGAGGGCTGTAGATTGCTTACCACTAATTTAAAAATCAAATATTTTAAATGAAAATTGATTTTAAATGAAAATAAAGTAAAATCCAACATCCTTTAGGAGATGTAGCAGTGCTGCTGCTATTAGGATGAATAGCTAGCATTGCCATTAGATCGCGGTCACTGAGGATTCTATTTTTTTCAGTTCTGTGACTGAATGGTAGGTTTTTTGTTTTCTTTTTAGATCACCTGAATTTGTTTCTTTCTTTTTCAGAGATCCTTGTGGCAGAAGAAATGGACAGATTTGGGATTTTCCAGCTGTAAACAATGTTTAACCGTAATAGCACCAAGAAAAGAATGTCAGTGGACATTATGTCTCTTTCTCTCTCTTTTTGATATTTGGATTTTGAAAACACTTGAATGCAGAGTTAGATGTACCAAATATTTCTAAAACCTTAGGATGAGAACACTGCCTGCTCTAGGAACATGGGAGAAATCTATGATGGAGGTGGGGCTGATCTGGCTGGGAATAGGACCACCGTTCCTGAAGTGATATCATTTGGAGGAATGGACAGGGATGGTGTGGAGGAATATGGTGCAATTATTTCCACCAAGCACCCTTCCCCACCATTGTCCCTCTGCATGTTTTGGAGTACAACCACCCAGAAGTCCCAGCCAGTATGTCCTTGACATCTAGAAAGCATCATGTTAGGAAAGGCTGGCTTAGAGAATGACTTGCCATAATCTCTATTTTTAAGACATCAGACTGCTCACTTTGGCAGCACATATCCTAAAACTGGAACGATAGAGAAGATGGTCATGACCCTTGTGCAAGGGTGAGACACATTACTTTGAAATAAATAAATGTAAACTCTCAGAGCTAGAAAAGACCACCTCATTTTGGAGGAAGAGATCTTATCTTGGAGGGTGTTTCCTACTCCATCATAAAACTTCTGGCTTCTGGGTCTCTGCAGCTGGAGGTCTGAGATCACTAGAAACAATAAGAAGGTGGATTGGAAGGCATATCATGGAGGTAGAGACAGGAGTTTTAGATCCATAGGATCCATTGATCCCTTGTAATCCCCAGATATAACCCCAATAGGAGGGAAAGGTGTCCCATCTTAAGAGATGGCATGCTTAGTTTCTTTTTCTATACTTAACACAGAAGGGAATATGATCAAATAATATTAATTAAGAAAAGTAAACAGAATATGATATGCTGATAGGATCCCAGTGGGGCACTTTCCCCTTTAATTTACTTCTTTGTTTGACTTATATCCTGACTTTTGTTCAGGAGCTCAAGGAGGGCCTTCCTATTTTTCTCCCCAGCCACCCTATGAGAAAGAGCGACTGGCTCACTTACCCATTGAGCTTTGGTGGCCAAGAGTGGACTAGAGCTTGGGGTCTCCCCACTTGTAATCCAACAGCCCCACTGCTACTCCACCCAAGCTCCCTCTGCCAACATTGAATCTCTTGTCCAGTAGAATTATTTGTTAAATGTACACTTTGCATATCATACAAGTATATATACCAGTGTTTTTC